GCCCCGTGTCCCTGCTCTGGTCTTTCATTGTACTGCGGAGGGCTGCCAGCCTGCAGGGATTCCCTCAGCTGCCGCCAGAATGACCCTTAGAGTCCCAGGCTTTGTCAGAGTGACACTCTGACTCGTTTTCAGTTCCTAAGATGTGTCAACAATCCCCAGCGTTCAGCTGAGTCCTAGGCAGTGTGTTTGCCTTGTGGGAGCACAGGCGAGCTCAGGACCGTTTATCTCAGGCTCCTCCCTTTCAGCCTCTCCAATTCTCCTCATCTCCCCAGATCTGCTCAGGGTTCATTTAGTGCTGTGATCGACGGAACTCACGGCCCCTTCCCCAGAATATTTGTTCTTCATTCTTTGATTCTGCCGGATTAGTCATAACTCTGCCAGGTTCTCACAGCTGCCCTGGGTTGGCCCATGGTGGGGACACAGTCCGGGGTCAGTGGGGATAGATACTGCTCTGCCTCCCCCTTTCTCACAAGTAGGGGGGGCCCAGGAGTCTCAGGAGCACAGTTGTGTGGCCTGGGCCCCGGCCAGGCGCAGTCGGGGTCCATGGCTGCTCCCCCGAGGCAACTGGGGGTCACGACTGGCGACTGAGGGGTGACTGCTGTTTTGTGCTTAGGAGAAACTAAAGCCCGAATTCCTGGAGGGTCTTCCTGAAAAGTTGAAGCATTTGTCACTGTTTCTGGGGGAGAGGCCTTGGTTTGCAGGGGACAAGGTAAAGGGGGGCTCTGGGGGCAGGAGGGGTGTCGCTCCTCCAGGGGTCTGACTTGCTGCCACCCCCCCTCCTCTGCAGGTCACCTATGTGGACTTCCTGGCCTATGATGTCCTTGATGTGCATCGCATATTCGAGCCCTCGTGTCTGGACGCCTTCCCCAGCCTCAAGGACTTCATGGCCCGGTTTGAGGTGTTTTCTTGCTCCTCCTAACTCTACTTCACTTTTATCTTCAGTCTTCTCTGTGATAGTTTTTTGGACTGGAGCTAAAAGGACCACAAAGTAGATTTTTTGTCAGACATACTTTATGCTAACATCTCTGCTCAGCATATATTGTTTTTAAAATTTTTGCAATCTAATCTTTGCAAAAAAAAAATTGACAAATATGTAGATTTATCACCTCCATTTTATACAGGAGGACACCCAGGCTGGAGGACAAGCAACTCCTGAGCTCACAGAGCAGGGCGGGCCGGGCTGGGGTCTGGCCTCTGGCTTCCCTGGGCAGCAGCAGCCGCTGTCCCTGTCCTGGCCCAGAGCAAAGCCTCAGGGCCCTTTCCAGGCCTCTGCTCAGCCCCCCACAGTGGGGGAGGCAGCTGGGGGTGGAGTGTGGAGAGCTGAGACCCGCTAGGTTGGCAGGAGCCAGCAGAGAGACAGACACTATTCATGGTTCCTCTCCTGAGAGCTGGGCAGCGCCCCCACCATATCTGGGGGAGCACGGAGGGTCCCAGGAGTGTAACTGGTGCTGGGGTTTAGGCACAAGCATCAGTGCCCCGGGGGAAGGATTTTCTTGCCTTTTCTTGTTGGTGTGATTTCTTTCCTCTGTATCTCCACTCCTTTTCTCCAGTCATCCAGATTCTGTCTGAAAGATGGGGTGCACGTTTATGTTACTCATATGCATGGATCTGACCTTCTCTTGAGAGGAGGCCTGGGACAGGCCCAGTGGGGGATGCACAGGGGACCCTCTGGGTCCCACCCCTGGGCTAGTGCAGCTGGAGGATTTCAGGGACCAGATTGTAGGTGGGTGGGACCTGGGTGCTGGAGGAGCCCTGCCCCAACTCACACCTCATCTATCACCCTTAGTTCTCTGGCGAGAGGAAAAACGAGGTCCAGTTTTTTTCAGAATGACAGTTGGAGGCATTAGCCCACAGGTGCTTCAGCCTCTAGCCCGTTTTCTTTCCCACTCAGCACCAGAATGTGTCTTGACAGCTCTTTGTCTTCTGCCTGGGCTGGTGCTGGCTGATCGCGGCTGGGGAGCGCTCGACTGGCCACGATGGGGGCGGGGGGGCTGGAGGAGCATAGTGTGTGCAGCCTACACGTGCCAGGGCCTGGCCCGTTGCGTCCAGTCCCAGCATCCTGAACCCCTCAGCTCTGTGGGCACTTTCTCCCTGGGAAGGTGATGCCCACACCCCTCTGTGTCCCTCTTCAGAGTCCCTGGGTGAAATTTGGTCTCTTCTTCAAGCTACAGGGGCACAATCTGGGCCCCTGGTTCTGCTCCGGTTGCACTGAGCCAACTGCAAAGCCAGGAGCCTCTCTTTGAAAAGGGAACATTTGTGAGACAGGGAGCCCAGGCTCCTGTGCGGAGGGTGGGGAGAACAGCAGGAAGGGCCCAGAACTGGGGAGAGCCAGGAGCATTCCAGACCTGCCAGTTCACTAGCTGTGAGAGTTGAGGAAGCTGCTGCACCTGTGTGTGCCTCAGTTTCCCTTCTGCTAAATTGTGATCATAGAGCCTGTCTCATAGGGATGTTGATGGGTTATAAACCTGCGTCATCATCTGTGGACTTCAAGCGTCTAGCACACTGTGGAGTCTCTTAAGCATAGCAAGTCGTAATCTCCAGCATTATCAATAGTTGTAATAGTGGAAGTTACATTGCCAGACAGGGAATGCGGAAACATGGCTTCCGCTCTCCCTCTAGGCCTTCCGGGGGGTGACTGCGCGTGTCTGCCGTGGGCTCTGGGCACAGCCTGACCTGACCCTCTCCCCCCTCAGGACCTGCAGAGCATCTCCGCCTACATGAAGTCCAGCCGCTTCCTCCCAGGTCCTCTGTTTTCAAAGATGGCCTCATGGGGCAGCAAATAGGCCAGCAAGGCTGGGGGTGGATGGAAGGAGCCGGTTACCTGTGTGCCAAGACAGTGCGCCCACCTGTGCCCTCTTGCACCCTGAGAGTTACCGCTCTTACTTTTCCTAGTCTTACTTCCTCACACACTTCCTCAGCCTTCGGAGCCCAGCCAGAATTTTCAAAGCTCTCCAAAATCCCACTTCTTAAGTGCCAGCCCCGTCTCCTTCCTCCAGCTGCTCCCCACGCTCAGCCAACCAGGTGTCGTCCCCTCGGGGTCAAGGTAGCCACGGCTGCCCCTGTGAGCGGGGAGTGCAGAACACCCAGCAGCTTTTCCACTCCAGCAAGCAGCAAAATCAAAGCAGCAGACTCATCCCGGGCCGCAGGCCTGGGAAAGCAGCAGAATCCAAGCAGACCTGGAGACTCCTGTGTCACTGCCTGATCCCCAGTAAAGGCTTAATCGCACCTGCTCTGTCTTGTCTGTTCCCTCCCTGCCTCCCGGGCTCTCCAGCTTCCCAGGCCCGAGTGGGGAGCCTGGCAGTGACTGGGGCACCAGGCCGCTGTGGGTCTGCTGAGGCTGGCAGCAGGCGGCTGAGGCTGTCCTGTCTGTTTCCCGGGGTTGGGCGCCCTGTGGAAGGGGGTGGGGGCCCTCCCTGGGCCTGTGGGTTTCCATCATTCACCCTCCCTGAGGGCCCGTGGCTCTGCAGAGCTGTGTTAGTGTGTGTGTGTTAATGTGGGGACTTGAGGAGGGGAACCAGGACTCCCTGCTTTGCAGTGAGCCGCCTCATCACAGCTGTGGGTGTGTCCACCCCTGATCTCCCCTCAGGGGCTTCCAGGGGCCTCTCCAGGCTGCTTGCATTAGCTTCTTGGTTACCCCTCATTTTCCTGGGAACCCTGAGAGAAATGTCCTTACTCTTGTAGGTAAGAAAATATCTTATTAGATGATTGCTGACCTAATAATAGTCTGGTAGGTTTAGAAGTCTGGGGAGAAGATCTTAACTGCTGGTGAAATTACATATTCTAGAATTTTGAGTTGCAGATGCCAAGGCTGATGACAGTCTGACTCGATCCTTTTGTGATGGGACTTATTTATTTTATTTTATTTTTTATTTTACAACAGTTTATTTTTACATCATTTTGTACATTTTTTTTTTCCATCTCAATTGTAATCCCCGCGGGTTTCCCGTCACCAAGTCACCCGTGTGATGGGACTTATTTTTAATCTTATATATTTTTAAGATTTATTTTTTATTTTTGCACACAAGAGCTGCGGTGTAGGCCAGAGATGTGGGGGTGTGTGTGTGTGTGAGAAGCTTCACCAGAGCCAGAGTGGGGAGCAGAACAGGTGGGTCTACTGAAAGACACTGCTGAGGGGGGCAGCAGGGAGTCAGGAGAGGCCTGCTGGCCGTGTGGGTCAGCTCCCGATTCGTGCGCCTGTGCCTGGTGGTAGCTTCATAGTGCTGAGGCATAATCCCTTGCACTGCCAGGAAGTCCGGGGACTTATTTATTTTTTTTTAAGATTTATTTATTTGTGCATACAGAACTGGGGTACAGGCCAGAGGTCCAGGGACAATGAGAGGATTCACCACACACAGAGTGGGCAACAGAATAGGCAGATCCATGAAGTACACTGCTGAGGGGAGCAGCGGGCGGTGAGAAGAGGTCTGCCACGCACCCCCCGGGCAGGCGGGAATCAAACTCATGCTGAGGTGGCTTTAGATCCTTAGTGCTGTGCTTTAACACACTGTGCCACCAGGGAGGGCCCGGGGACTTATTTTGAATCTTAAGAAGCCTTTAAGACTTTTTCTTGCCTCCTGAGGGTCCGAGCCACAGAGCACATGAGGATCTAGGTGATGTCCCCCCACTTCCTGTGCCCCGTGAGCTGCTTGGCCCAGGCCTCCACCGCTCCCGTGTGCTGGGCCAGTGTCCTTTCTTCCTGCTGCAGCCTGGGCTGCTGAGACAGTGTCTAATAGCTCAGGACTCCCTTGCTGTGTTTCCATAATGGTTACTGATTCCTGGAGCGTTACCAGGCCAAATTCAGCTGGGAGAAATTAATAAAAGGAGATTCTCCTTTGGTTTGACTTGGCAAGTACCCAGCGCCTGTGGGAATCTCTGCAGGGGTAAAGCTGAGCAATTCTCTAGCAAAAAGAGGGGGAAAGTGTTGCTTTTTAAAAAATTACAGCCAACAGGACAGGTTTATTATAAAGGGGGAAAGGAGCATAACGGATATCTGTAGTAACATGAGCAGGCAGAAAAATCAGCCCCTGAAAGTTTTTCGAAGAGGAACAGGGCATCCTCGCAGCTGGAGGTGGAGGGCTGCTGCCATGTTTTGCATTTTTTAGGACCCAAGCCTGGCTCCCAGCTCAGTGAAATTCCCTCTAACAGAGCAGAGTTCTGAGTGGGTCTGGGGGATCCACAGAGCCAGCGGGACAGGGGCCATAGCCAAGCCAGCCAGGTGGCCTTTAGTATCTGGATGTGCAGGTGTTGGGGTGCTTCTGGGGGGAGGCTCTCTGGGCTACAAGGCTGAAGGGGATCATGTTTCTTCCTGCCCCAGCGCTGTGTTTACTTCTGGAGGGAGCGGTGGTGAGGGTGGTGGAGGTTTGGGCGGGGCAAGGCTGGAGGCCTGCAAACAGCTCACTCCAGAGGGGCAATCTGAGTTCTGCTCTGTAAAGGGCCCTCTGTTGAGCAAGACCAGCGCCATGGCTATGATCTTGGGTTACTGGGACATTAGAGGGGTGAGCAAGGGGCCGAGGGCGGGGGGTGGGAGGGTGGGATGGGACAGGAAGGCAGAGACGGGCTGATAAAACGGGCTGTTAGGTTAAGAGGTTCTTTTAAGGGCCTGCTGGAGCTGAGCCATCTCATTGTTTAACTTCCGGAGAGCCTGGAAAGGGGTGTGTGCTTGTGTGCGTGCGTGCCTGTGTGCTTGTGTGCGTGCGTGCGTGCGTGTGTGTGTGTGTGTGTGTGTGTGTTTGCAGAAGCCTCTGCAGGCTGCAGAAAGCTTGAGAACTGCAGCCTGGATCTGAATTCCGGGCCAGACTCCCCCCATGCTGACATGAGTCCCTGCACCCCCCGCTGGCTCACGCCATCCGCCTGCACCTGGAATGCACAGACTCAGGGTATGAGCCCATGTGCTCTGCTTTCACTGCTCCCCCTCGTGCAGCTTGGGTACCACGCACCCCTTTCCCTGCCCCCTGTTTCCTCCCCTTCTCTAAGCCCCTTTGAGGTGCAGCTTGGTTTCCAAGGTAGAACCTGACAGTCTGGGCCCCTGAATGGTAGCTGGGAGATTCCCCTTAGGGCTTGTTCATCTCTGAGTGAGCTTTCCTCTGTGATTCCAGAAACTACTAAATGTTCTTTTCAGCTCAAACTGCAATGTGAGACCTGGTTCATATTCCAGATAGCCTGAAGGGGGTCTCGTATCTATTGGTTTGTAGGTTCTCCCAAGAAGAAGATTTTGACTCAGGGGAGGCTTGTTTACCTGTCTTCTCCACCACAACTCCCAACTATGACAGAAGCCAGTGGCTAAGTGAAAAGTTCAATTGGGCCTGGACTTCCCCAATGTTGGTGCAGGGCTGGGGGGCATGTGGGCAAAGAGCGGGTGTCTCCTCCATCTCTTCTCCCAGCTCAGAGGCTTTGGGGCCAGTGTCTGCTGCTCAGCCCCAGCTCCCTGGCTCTCTGCACCACCCCCTGATGCTCTGGGTCCAGCTCACTCACTGCTGGACACATGAATATGTGGTAGCTAGTGTGGGCCAGGGGCTGTGACAACCAGGTTTCCTGTTTGCACTGGTTCATGTGGGGGTGCAGGGGTGGTGGAAGCCCAGGTGAACTGTCCCTATTTCTGGGGGTGCAGGGGAGCTGGAGGCCCAACCACCTGCCTCTGACTCCTTTGCAGCTGCCCTACCTAATTGACGGGGCTCGCAGGGTCACCCAGAGCAACGCCATCCTTCGCTACCTCGCCCGCAAGCACAACCTGTGTGAGTGGGCAGTGGGGTGGGGGTGGGGTAGGTGGCCGTGTTTATAGGGGGGTCTGGGTGGGATGCTGAGGTGAGTCTGTGTTATATGAGATGGAAGAGAAGATTCATGTGGACATTTGGAGAATCAAGCCATGGACACTGCTAACTAGCTGGCCAGCGTGTGCTACAGCCCTGACTTTGTGAGTCCAGCCCGCCCTCCGCCCGCCGGGCCGCATGGGTTTTTAGGACACTGGACTCCTGTATTCCATCACCATGGGTCCATTTGCCCTCGAACTTCTTGGAGCTAGTAACCCCAGGTGTTCTCTGCACCTGCACTGGAGTGAGCCCTGTCACTCCAGACTGTGTTAGATGAACACCCCTGACTCGCTTAGCCATCCATCACAGGAGAGAAGCCAGGCACGGGGCCATTTCACTGGTGTAGATGATTCCACTGGTGTAGTTGGTACTACCAAGGTGCAGCTGACCTTGTACACCTAGGCCAGCTCGCACCCTGTGCAGGAGGAGCGCAGGTGAGCTCAGAACCTTTACCTCAGGCTCCTCCCTTTCAGCTTCTCGAATTCTCATCTCCCCAGATCGGCTTAGGGTCCATGTAGTGCTGTGATCGGTGGAACTCACGGCCCCTTCCCCAGAATGTTCGTTCTTCATTCTTTGATTCTGCCGGATTAGTCATAACTCTGCCAGGTTCTCACAGCTGTTCTGGGTTGGCCCATAGATGGGGACACAGTGGGGGGACAGATGTTGCTGGCCTGCCTCCCCCTTGCTCACAGGTGAGGGCCCCAGGAGTCTCAGGAGCACAGTTGTGTGGCCTGGCCCCCCCGCCCCCACCAGGCACAGTCGGGGTTCATGGATGCTCCCCTGAGGCAACTGGGGGGTCAGGAAGCCCCTGGCAGTTCTCTCTGTCAGGGTCTGTGTCTGAGGGGTGACGGCTGGCTGTTTTGCGCCCCAGGAGAAGCTGAAGCCCGACTACCTGAAAGGATTCCCCGAGACGGTGACCCAGTACTCCCAGTTTCTAGGGCAGAGGCCTTGGTTTGCAGGGGACAAGATAAAGGGGAGCTCTGGGGGCGGGGGGTCGCTCCTCCAGGGGTCTGACTTGCTGTCATTCCCCCCTCCCCCCCACAGGTCACCTACGTGGACTTCCTGGCCTGTGCTGCCCTTGACCTGCACCACATACTTGAGCCCTCCTGTCTGGGTGCCTTCCCCAGCCTCAAGGACCTCCTGGCCCAGTTTGAGGTGATTCCTCTGACCCCTTTGTATCTTACTAATGTCATGGTTATTCTTCTGAAGGAGTTAAAGCGAAGAAAAACTAGCATTTTTTTTTTTTTTGAGAACTTGCTTATGCTAGTGTCTCTGCTCAATATCTATGAAGATATTATGTCAAATTAAACTTACAGCAACATGCCTGGAGAATTGTCACCTCCAGATTCTAGATGAGGACGCCCAGGTAGAGACAAGCGATTCCTTGCAGAGCAGGACTGACCGGGCTAGGCGCCTGGGCCTGTGGCTTCCGGGGCAGCAGCAGCCAGGGCTGTCCCTGTCCTGGCCCAGAGCAAAGCCTCAGGGCTCTTTCCAGGAGCTGCTCAGCCCCCCACCGTGGGGGGGGAGGCGGCTGGGGGTGGAGTGTGGCTGGAGCAGGAGAGCTGAGACCCCCTGGGGTGACAGGAGCTAGCAGAGACACAGACACTATTCACAATGTTCAGATCCTCTCTGGGGGCAGCCCTGAGCTCCCCACGGCTGAAATTTGACTACATACATGGGTGCCTGGGAAGGGTCTATCGCGATTGTTCCATTAGTAGAATCTTTCTACCTGTGTCCCTTCCTTCATACACCGGTTACCTGCTTCTTATGCAGAGAGAAGTTTTGTCCTTACTTTAACTCATGTTCACTGGTCTGATCTTCTTGGGGCAGAGGCCCAGACAGGGACAAGAGGGATGCAAAGGTGACCCTGCTTTGGGGCCACCCTCCTGGGCCCATGGAGTTGCAGAACTCCAGTACGAGGCTGTGTGGGTGTGTGGGACCAGCTGGACGCTGAGGAGCGTGGCCTGGACACGGTCACGGCTCATCATCCATCACCATTAGCAAGCTGCGTGCAACTGGCAAGTTACAAATTCAGGAAGTTATCCCTCATCGCTACACCCTGACTTGCTGGCTTCGGTGGAAGAGATTTGCTTTCTTAGTTCTTGTTAGCTCCTGTTTTTGCCTTGGCAAAAGTAAACCTTATAAAAGTAAAACCTTGGGGATTAAGGAAGAAATTGGGACCAAGAAATGGCAGAGGAAGGTGGTAGAGAGCTGGTGTTTCTACCTGTAGCTGGTGTCTGGCACTCATGAGTGGGCGGTTCCAGGATCTGAAATCTTTTGAACATGGGCTCCTGCTCACACGCCAGCTCGCTCGCTGTCCTCCTTCTCTCTCTGAAACTTGGTGACCAATCACACCTGCCTACCTGACGGAGT